GACCACTACCCGTTACTCCCACGACCACGACCACTCACCCGTTACTCCCACGACCTTCACGACCACTACCGTTACCCCACGACCTCCCACGACCACTACCTGTTACCTCCTAATGACCTTCACTTCCACTCACCCGTTACTCCCACGACCTTCACGACCACTACCCGTTACTTCCACGACTTCCACGACCACTCACCGTTACCCCACGACCTTCACGACCACCACCCGTTACTCCCACGACCTCACGACCACTCACACTCCGTTACCCCACTGACCTGTCATCCCACGGACCTCGCCGACCACTCACCGTTACTCCCACGACCTTCACGACCACTACCCGTTACTCCCCACGACTCACGACCACTACCCGTTACTCCCACGACCTTCACGACCACTACCCGTTACTTCCACGACCTCCACGACCACTACTTCGTTACTCTCCCACGACCTTTCTAATGACTACTCGCTACCCGTTACTCCCACGACTCACGACCACTACCTGTTACTCCACGACCTTCACGACCACTGCCACCTGTTACTCCCACGACCTTCACGACCACTACCCGTTACTCCCACGACCTTCACGACCACTACCCGTTACTCCCACGACCTTCACGACCACTACCCGTTACTCCCACGACCTCCACGACCACCCCTTCCTCATTAGCCAGCTTACAAATCCGTAAGTAAATCCTCTACACACCCCCAACCTTACACCTTCGTCAAGGGGTCACCATGTGTGTACGTCTGCCATCAATCATTATAACTTTACCTATTAATTATTAGTTTAAATGTTATCTGCCACTGCTTCAACTTTTAATATTTTTCCCTCAAGATGATTAAATAAGTTATAATTCACACACAACAACATAACAACAACACTCCTCGCCAATAAGTGGACATCCGCCAAGAATAATCTGTTTCAGCTGTGATAAGTATTGCCTGTTATACCGCATCATGACGTAATAACCGCTCACGTGATGGGTCTCTTGTAGCTACTGACGCCACAATACAAGTACACTGCCAGCTGCTTCATATCCATTTGCCAACTAGAAAACTCGACTAGTGAATACTGCTCCAATAGGTGCTGGGAATTATTTCAACATCAATGGTGAGAGAGCAATGAATCCCACACGATCTGTCTCATATATAAACGTAAATATGTGGATGTTATGTGTGTCTCTGTGGAATGTGATTGCAAGAATGCGTGAGGGAGTGGGCGGGAGGAGGAGATTCACCGTTAGTAATGCAACAAACAAACAAGATGAGAATAGTTAGCATAGTTTGGCAGGGTTGTGGATAGTAGCCAACACGAGCACCTCCCTCCAGCCCTCTACCGGTCGATGGATCAATTACCCCCATACACCTGGCCATAGATATTTACCCTCAGACACAGGCAGTACCACTGTACACAAGGTGATTCTCTACAGGAACTGACCACATTTACAAACACTTGAACTTAATGTCTAAAATAACAACAAAACACGAAATGATTAAAAAAAATAATATATCTATTGGGGCGTATACATGTTTTTACACACACACACACACACACACACACACACACTAATATATCCCATTCTTTTTAATTCTATTCTTAGTAAAATTCCTGTCTTTATAAATCTTGGCCACAGTATATTAATGGATACAGTTTATTAATACCCAACCTGTCCTATCTTACGCTGACCTAACCTACCCTAATCTAGTCATATTATCGATTAAAGCTTTTTTTCTTTACTATACAAATTGAAAATAGTAACAACCGATCTAGCCAGGCGCCAGTGTTTCAGACGTCACGTGGGGAAAACAAACCTTGGTTCCCGCGTCCACCGCCAGACGCCGCCGTGAGATTGACGACTCTTACATTTATCAGTGACAACCACAAGCTGCATTGGTTAGGTTATATGGGTTGGTTTGGTTAGGTTAAGTTAGTGGAGGTTTGGTTAGCTCAAGTCAGGTCAGATTATGTTCGTTGGTTGATTGTTTAAATTAAGTTTATTGGTTAGATCAGGTTAGGTCATGTTAGGTCAGGTCTGGTCACTACTGGCGGTGTAAGATCCAAGGTACAGACGACCAATGACAATATAATGAGGAATAATGTTACCTGGGGAATACCTAACCTAAACACACCTAAAAGTAAACCTAATCTAACCAACATATGACCCAACCCAACCTAACCGTCCCCCTCAAATTATATTAGGATGGTTAATCGTGAGGTGAAATAAGCTAGAGCGGAGATACCTCAGGTGATCCCATGTAAACAACACACACACAAGGGGTCAAACAACACACACACAAGGGGTCAAACAACACACACACAAGGGGTCAAACAACACACACACAAGGGGTCAAACAACACACACACAAGGGGTCAAACAACACACACACACAAGGGGTCAAACAACACACACACACAAGGGGTCAAACAACACACACACACAAGGGGTCAAACAACACACACACACAAGGGGTCAAACACCTGCAGACTCCATCTTCCCATTAAGTCGACACATGACCGCCTCTGTGCCTGGCTCACCACAAACACCTCACACGACTTAATGCAATCTTCAACATGATTCTGTCAGGCACTTGTAAAAATCATAACTATCTTGTAGGAAGGAAAACAACTATTACATGAAGTTTAGACACCCCAGCTTATTTCACCTGAACATTAACCACCATAACACTACCCAGGTTTGGTTACGTTAGGTTGGGTTGGGTTGCTTTAGTTATGTTAGTTTAGGTTGAATTAGGTTAGATAACGTAAGTATTAGGTTAGCTTAAGTTGGGACATGTTTGGTTGGGTCAGGTAATGTTTGTTTTAAATTAGATTAAGTTAATTTACTCTTGGTTTGGTTAGGTTAAATTAGCATGAGGGTAGTTAATCTTCAGGTGCAATAACAAATTAACCAAAGATGTGTTTATTCTTCACGTTATCAAAAAAAACAAAAAAAACAAAAAACAATTAAGATCAAGTACACGTACAAGGACTCTCACGACACCAGACACTGCCCCTCAAACTTTCCCAAGGACGAGCAACTTACCGACACCTTCCGTAAATCTTCCACAGGGCTTGGCAGTAGATGATCTCCTTAACCCAGAAGACGTGTGTGTGTGTGGAGGACGATGGGGAATGGTGAGGGAGGTGTGAGGTGATAATGAGGTGGAAAGGTGTATGACGGGGGTGAGGGGACATGCGCGGTGATAATGAGGGAAGGTGTTTGTTTCAGGGGACGTCAGCCGCAAACAAATTTTCAGATAGTCACTTGTTAAGGAACTGTCTAAACCTATAACAAGACACTATTGTAAGTTGATACAAGAACACACACATACACACACACACACACGAGGACCGCCGACCTTCACCACAACATCGTCGCCTGAATTATTTTTACATGGCGACACAACCATGGTGATGGTGTGTAGCAGTGTCTGTGACTCGACCACTCAACCTAACCTAACACGGAGAAAAGGGAAGGAAGGAAGGAAGGAAGGAAGGAAGGAAGGAAGGAAGGAAGGAAGGAAGGAAGGAAGGAAGGAAGGAAGGAAGGAAGGAAGGGGGGAGGAGGAGGGGATGGGAGGGAGGGATGTGGGGAGGGAGGGATGTGGGGAGGGAGGGATGTGGGGAGGAGGGATGTGGGAGGAGGGAGGGATGGGGAGGGAGGGATGGGAGGGGGATGTGGGAGGGAGGGACGTGGGGAGGGAGGGATGTGGGGAGGGAGGGAATGGAAGAAAGGGAGGGAAGAAATGGATTGACAGGGAAGGGAGTAGATCCCAACTTCTCGAATATTTAAAAAAAAAAATGGCTCACCTAACCTAACCATCACGCGCGTCGTCAAGAACATTTCCTGAGGTGTCGTAAGAATGGTGTATAACCGACCATCTCTTCCTACCTTAAGACCCAAAGTTCGTGGTCATAAATCTTGCCGGAGGTGATCAGCCCAGCGACCACCTTCCTGACGCTTCGGGTGTGAGGGGCGCAGCTACCACTCACCGCCACCACCACTGATTATCTGGAAGCCAGCCAACTACTGATCTTATTTCTCCGCTAAATCCTGATTGCTATCGTCTACAGAAACCCTTCCCTACAACGTCTTCTACAGAACTCCAAATTTGTTACCACTTAGAGGGAAAATTAATCTGAATTATCTAGTTTACACAATCCTGTTACAAATGAAAGTTAACATAAGCGTTGTGATGAAGGAGTGAAGGTAACATTTTAGTCACAGTGTAGTGTTATGGTCCAGCAAGTTTATCAATGTCTTCCACTGAGAGTCACAACGAGAAGAAGGGAAGGTTTGACCCTGCAGACGAACCTGAAGGACACTACTGAAGGAGGAGTAAATGTGAGGAAGGTAATGGTTGAGAGGCAGCAACCACTCACCGCCACCACCACTGTGGAAGCCAGCCAACTACTGAGCTTATTTCTCCGCTAAATCCTGATTGCTATCGTCTACAGAAACCTACAGTCTTCTACAGAACTCCAAATTTGAGAGGGAAAATTAATCTGAATTATCTAGAGATGAAAGTGTGTGTGAAGGAAGTGAAGGTAACATAGTCAGAGTGTAACAGCAAGATCAGACAGTGAGAAGTCACATCCTTGTAGGACAGATGTACACTACTGAAAATGTGGGGGGGACAGTACAGAGGGTGACAAGGTAGAGGTACTTGTGGACAGTACACAGTGAGGGAGGTAGAGGTACTTGTGGAGGACAGTACATCAGTTATGGAGGTACAAGGACAGTACATCAGTGAGGGGAGGTAGAGGTACTTGTGGAGGACAGTACATCAGTGAGGGAGGTAGAGGTACTTGTGGAGGACAGGACAATACATCAGTAAGGGAGGTAGAGGTACTTGTGGAGGACAGGACAGTACATCAGTGAGGGAGGTAGAGGTACTTGTGGAGGACAGGACAGTACATCAGTGAGGGAGGTAGAGGTACTTGTGGAGGACAGGACATCAGTGAGGGAGGTAGAGGTACTGAAATAAGGCCGACTTACCTGTTGATCTTTGTTCATTCGCTGGTTCACCCAGGTCTTCACGCCGGCCAGGTCAGCCCCGACTTTGATGAGGCCAAGTTTCCCTCGCCGTTTGATCAGCTGGTCGGGCTTAACCACCAGCTTCTGCAACAACAACAACAAAACCCTCATATTACACACTAAACCATCGAGGTAATCTCCTGAATGAAAAATAAAAGACCATGGGTAGATTTGGCACCCTATTTCGCCTTAAGTTTAGACACCCTATCTTATTCCACCTTAAGATCAGGCACTCCAGCTTATTCTAGCTTAAAATTTGGCACCCCAGCTTATTTCACCTTTAAGATTAACTACCCTAACACAAACCTAATCTACCCCCCCCCCCCGAATTAGCGTTAGGATTTTTAATACAGTAATCAGGTGACAAACTGAGGTGCCTAATCTTCAGGTGATCCATCAAAACTTTGGGACTGGTTTTGAGTAGATTAGGGTTAGAGTTCCCTGGCCATATATACAACCAAAAACTCCCTAAGGCAGCCCTGACAGTGGTGTAGTGCTTCTCACTTAAAGGCGTGGTGGTGGTGGCTTACCTCTGTCCTGAGCCATGGGTGGTCCCTCACGAGGTCGTCCCAGTTGGTGTCGTCGGTGACAGGGACGAAGCGGCAGGCAGCACACACCTGGGAGGGCAGGTTGTTGTTGAGGATCGCCTTCCCCGTCACCTCTCTGATGGCCTTGGCTGACATTCTTTCTCAGCCTGTACAAACAAGTTTACCTGTAGCAGCAGCAGTAATTATAAATTATTATTAAACTACATTAATTTCCATTAAAACAACATTACTGTAGCGCATTCAGTGTCCACGAATAACAATTATTATTTAATAAATTTTTACACCTACAGCTGCCTCTATGCCAAACATATAAAACATTATACTGTATAAGGTAAACTGACCTTACATTTTTCTCTTTAATAATCATCAGTAGAATGATCGTAAGACTCTGAATCCGCCTAACCAGTGATTAATCTTCATTTATCAAGTTCCAAGTTGTCAGCCTTTGACGTTCACCACGGCACCAAGGTTCTATCACCCGTATATCATAAACAGGGTAGGCGAGAAGTAACTGATATATGAGGTCGGCTGACAGCTTCATATTTCCATATTTTATATTGCTAAAAGTTGTTTCCCTAATTTCTTTGCAGAATATTTAACTAGGCTAGGGACTAGTGCTATTATTTCAATGCAGAATATGAATAATCCCAATATTTCTGAATACAAACATATCAAATTTTGCTCGTCTTAAACCACTGATCTGTCACCGGAGTAGCGTGAAAAAAATTATTTATGAGTTTAAGAACAAACACATCCAATACACTCAAGATAAATATATCCACACGTTAATATATTTTCAAATGCATAAAAATTAGCAGGTAAAATTGTTTCGATAAAGACACTAATGTGATGTTACTAACATCACCTCGTAGACAACAACGATAACTGGCTACCAGGGAGCCGTACCAATGAGTATACCTGTATGCAGGCTGAGGAGAGGCGGGGAGCGTGTGGCTGAGGTGAGGGAGGCCAGAGGGTTGTGGGCTGTAGTGGTGGCGGTAACCAGGTGGTGAAAAATGCACCATCAACGTCAGTGGGGCCATGCAGTGATCACGCGACACCCCTCATTAATCACTTTTAAACATTAACGTATCAGGTACCGGGATGGATTATTATGAAGTGATGTGTTCAGCAGATATTTATCAAGGACAAATACAAGCTTAATGTCATTTTGATAACATCCCGGCATAGTGACCACGTGGGCCAGAGAGAAGTTTCGTCAGACAAACAAAATCGCGCCAACATCGAAAACCCCTAATTTTATCCAATTAAAAAAAATATTGCAACATCCCCATCACCAGTTCGTCTCGTCCTGCAACTGAACTGCACACACTATAACAATCACTAACTTAAAATGAAAAACCTTACTCATCATTAAGCCAAAGTAGGGCGTGTCTTACGTCAGGTGGCCTCCCTCAACACAATACACCATCACAGAAATAGCCAAGTCAAGCTGTGTCTCCCGCCTCACTAATAACTTATCCTAGATTGTACTAATAAAATACATGCGTGTATTTTTGTGTTATAACCTGCCTGCGTGAGCCAGTGAAGCTAGTCTGTATGGTAATGGGTAAAGGTACATTAAAGACTTTGATACCTAACCCAATTGAACATTAACTACAGTATGTTACCATTCTCATATCAATGTTAATCACTTCGTATATATGAAAAATCCTCTAATTCTTGAATCAATTTCACGAGACCAATTTTTTAATGGCAATATACCCAAAACCAAACATTTTCGTTTTAATTCCTACACATCTAGAGAATACAGTACATCCTTCAACCACACACGTTGGCAACATCACTATCGGCAGCCCAGACACCTCCGTGATCGACATTAATAGTTATAAATACACTATCTGTCACACAGCCCAAGTTAATTAAGTGTTATCGTGTGTGGTAACTACATAACATCAGCCTTAGCAACTCCAGCGAGACGCCCCCCTCCATTCTACAAGAGATAACGTTTCTCCCTTACGATTTTACGAAGTCTGAAGTGCGAAAACAAGCAAAAATACACATCTAACGTTATCATGGGACACGGTTTGATACACAAAACTATTGTTTTACGAAACGTTCACACTAAAGAGGCAATTTCCAATTCCCGGCCTAAAAACCTGATATGTCACCTTGAGTAGCCTACTGGGATCAAAGGCTAATACGTTGAACGACCCTTGCATCTGATGATGTAATCATCACTAAAAGGTATGTCCCTCAATATTGTCAATGCCTATGGCCTGGCACTTGACATTATAAGGGACCTGCCATGCTTTGCCATAAACAGATAAATTGTACCGGGAATTGTCCCCCCACACACTCATCATTCTGTCACTTTATGTAATTTGCTGACAAAACCAATAACCCTTCAGGCTTTTACGCCCTTAATGCACGAGTTATAAAGGCAAGCATGAACTCCGCATGCTTCCCAGATGGGCGCTGTAAACGCTTCTGCGCTTCACCTTGCACAGGATGTAAGGGGGTGCCCAATAAACTAGCCCCCTCGGGGGCAATTTAAAAATCTAAATGATGTAACTCGAACTACTGCACATAAAATGTAGTTTTATATTATGTTGGTTGGAGCTTTAGCTACAAACTTTTAATTTAACAGGTATTCTTAAGCCGAGTACAGTATAAATCGGCCCGAGAAAATTTTTTGGGGTGGAAAAACTCTACACGCCGACGAATACACTTGAATTTACACCACACAGAAACTAATATTTCTAAACATAGACAGAAATACACGCATCGGTGGAAAATCTTAAGGTCTGTATAATATAATAAAATTTTAAGTGTTCGCACTATAACAGTAGGAAAGGTAACCAGCCGGGCAGTGGTCCCTCACCCAGGCCGTATTCGTCACGTTACTATGACAACGACATCCTCTTTTGCACTTGAGAGTTGTCTACCGTCTTGAGGTTACGGTTATGTCGAAATATTAAATGGTTTGTTGTGTTGACAACTGGGTTATGTTGAAATTTAGCTTATGTTAACAATTGTATGCTGTTGATTTATTGTACTGATAACGTTGCAAGCATATTTGTACACAAAAGTGATTTGTTGACAACTGTCAGTGTTGAGAATTGTGTTGTTAACTGTTCTGTCACAACTGTATCTACTTACCATTGCGTCAGTATATGAATTTAACAACTGTCTGTTTATTAGTGCGTGTTAAGCGCTCACCGACGTGTTCACCAGCATAACTGTGTTTTACTTACCTGAGTGTTCAGCATAATGTCAGTTATGGCTGTGTTTTGGTAGATCCACTGTATTAAATTCAGTGTTAGAAGTGATGACCGTTATAATGTCGAGAACAAACTAAACTGAAGTCGGAAAACCTTGAAATTTCAAGATCAAAATGGTAAATATCACGTTTACCTCCACATCATTTTGCGGTATTTTTGGTGGGATCTTCACCGATATGTTTAATTCATAGTATGCAAATCCGATGGGGAAGCGAGACAAACACTCGGTTGAGGTCTATGTATAAAGTCGACCTCATGAACCTCGCTAAAATTACCCTTGGATCGTTCGGTTAAATTTTAGTCGTGCCACTTTCACAAATGGCATTCCTACTTGTTTCTGTAATTAAAACGAATATCAATGAAGATTCTCTTAAAAAATAGTAAAATAAAGTGAACGCTAAACTTAACATTCACCAAATATCTATCAAGAATAACTTAAAACTTGCCGTCCTGGAAAATTTGACTTCATGCATGAGCGAGATAACATGAATGTACAGTGAACAGATTAAGAGGCTGACCCTCCCATAGCTATTAGTTATTTCCCTTCTCACATGTTAGTCACGGACCCGCCCCACATACGGGAAAGAAAAAGAGTGGATATGGACGGGAAAAATATAAATCCTGTAGTTACTTGGGGCACGATTCTTGACGTGGCGCCCAGAAGCGACATCCTTGCTCCTGAAGTGATGAAAGTGTCAAAAGTTATTAATTCACTATGGTGGTCAAAGGCTGAAAAGATTGTTGGTTGAAAGGGACTGTCTCCATCTCTCAGCGCCAAGTGTTTGTGAGTGTGAGAAAGGTCACTGGTTCCCGACAGTGCCGCACGGACGGGTCTTTCTGATATACAAAAACAAGCTAAACCAACAGGTATACACTAACTCCATACTCATGTTTTAAAGATACATTTGTTACTCGTGATTCTTCAAACGACAAAAACCTGTAATAAAAGTGTCCTCAAAATATAAACTAAAGGCATTTACAGCTTTTCCTGTTGGCTCAATTCGTTTTCGCATTTCAGGAAGACAGCGGATTAATCTTTCGACTTACAGGCCAACAAAAGTTTCCCATACAAAAGATGCAGCACTGCCACCGGGGCCTTGTAAACGATTGTTTTTGTTATACGAACCACGCCAGTCAGAAATAAAAAAATAGGATTTAATTTAACGAATACATTCACGGATTCTATACATACCGATATAAACATGCGTACATACATACGGATACATCATACATACATACATGAACATTTAGACACATGAACTTTTAGACATACTGTACATGAACATTTAAACAGTTTCACTTTCCCTAGCGGTCCTTTCCCTTTACACACTGGCATTAACTGGCTTTTAACAGTACCTGGTTACCCTCCCGCATTACCATTAATACCCAACTTTATTACTGAGAGACACTGCATCATTTAATCAATACTGATTTATGAAACTCCTCCCTGGACAGCCAACAAACTGATGCAAATTGTTCTATCGGGGTTCAAGACCGCCAGCCACGTCAACCTATCATTTGTGTGGAATTTGTTTAGATTAAATATTTATCGTTTAAATACCCCCGGCAATATTTATTAACTTTCATTATTAATTCGCTTTGAAAATTTGGTTCTTTTAAGCAATACATACGTGAGTTGTCGACAAAAATACAACTTGTTAGATTAACTCTGCCTTCCTTCCTCACTGCCGGGTTTGACAGTTGCATGCATGCCGACATCAATCACAATTACACACCGTCACTCTACCAATAATCAGACTTATGAAGTACTTACCGTAAGCTTTGTGATGTATTATCCAAAGATAACAAGAAGGTGTTTAGGGAAGAGTAAACCGGACTGTCAGATGGAAGCTTTAGACCAACTACAACACACCACCCCGCGCCACTGTGGTCTCACTCACTCTGCTCTGCTATTGGCTGATGGCCACGACTCAGCCAGCTGTTGCCAAGTCTCTCAACCCGATAATCGCTATGGTATCAACAAATTGTCCCAAACCTTCTGCAAAATCAGATAAAACTCGTTAATATTAATACAAATTAACCTAAAAGTTCCCCAAATTTGTCAATATTACCTGGAACTCACGCGGGTCCCTGATCGTGCTAGAATTGATGTTTCCACACAAGTTCACACACAGACCACCATAACACCCAGTGCAGCTAATACCATATACTCCCAGGCACGTATAATATGTATGTAGTTTTAGCTGACATTTGGTTTTTTTTTATAGTGTAAATATTAGAATCATACAAAGAAATTAAATATTAAAACTGCATATGTTAACTCAAATCAAATTTGCATTATAAGGTGGCAATTATTTTAAAGAACTATTGGTATTTCCTGCAGACACATTTAAGTTTCCTGTTCAGCTGTGATCAAACAGCTATACTGTATTCATAACACACATACACACGTTTGCACACATGAACAGACGCATGTAAAATATATATATATATATATATATATATATATATATATATATATATATATATATATATATATATATATATATATGTATCATGTAGATCCACAATGAAAACGTGGATAAGATAAATCTTGATAAAATCACACTGAATACGAATACACACCTGTCAACACATACTAGTTCACTACCACGCAGTCTCGTGCACATATACTTGATTTTACTTCCCTTCAAGTGAAATAAACTTGGGTGCGTAATATTTAGGTGAAATAAGCTAATCATCAGGTGATCCGCTTAATGTTATATTAAGTTTTACTAAGTTATTGAGTTAGTGATACAGAAGGGTAAATGTTAAAATAATGTTTTAAGTTGAGGTCACGTCAGGTAAGGTAAGGTGAATGTTTTGTTAGGTGGAGGTTATGTTTGGTGTTAAGTTAATTTTCTTAGATTAATATTATGTCAAGTTAATGTAATTTCAGATTAATATTATGTTAGGTTAATGTATTTTCAGGTTAATGTTATTTCAGGTTAATATTTTGTTAGCTTAAGGTTGTTTACTTAGGTTATATACTACCGAGACAACGGGTATGCATCATTGAACTAACCCTCCTATAAGTAATACATCAAGGTAAATCCTGTAACAAAAACTTTGTAGATTGAGTAGCTATAGATATAGAAATACAGTATTCTACTTAATATAAATAATCATCTAATATTCATATTACACTTATTACAAGGAGAGAGACATTTACTTAAATATATTAATTTGATATAAAAAATATTTTCTATTTTATATTTACTTAAATAAATATAAAATTTACACTCGTATGATATTTCTCGCGAATTTGGTTGGTAAATCCACGTTAGGTTAGGTTAGGTTCCCGTTGCTTGTATTAACTCAATATAATTTACATTATACTCAGATAGATTACTTTAACTATTGTTAGATAAAAATAATTTATTTATTCTACAATAATTTTAGTTAAGAATTAGGTTACGTTAGATTAGGCTTAGTGAGGGTTAAAGACAGAACTGTTTGTATGTTCCTCCAAAAATTATTTAAGTTGTATTACAGTTATTTTTGCCAGTTTAATTGAATTGCCCGAAGATTAGACACCCCAGCTTATTTCACCTGATTATTACACACCGTAAGGGGTTGGACTGAGAAGTGGATGCTAAACTTTCACCCAGAAAAAGTAAATACATGAGGATAGGAAGAACAAAAGTTGCTGACCATGGATATCATATGTACACCACGATCAAGAAGACCACTGTAGAGAAGGATATAGGGGTAGTCATCGATGATAAGATGACGTTCTCTGACCATCTAGCTGAGAAAATCAACAAGGCTAATAAAATAGTGGGCATTATTAGAAGAATTTTTGTTCATCTGGATGCACTTATATTCAAGGCTCTGTACACAGCTCTGGTTACGCCACACCTTGAGTATGCTAATCAAATTTGGTGCCCATATCTCATTAAGGATATTGAAGCAGTAGAGAATGTACAGAGGAGGGCTACCAAATTAGTACCACAGATCAAGGATTTATCTTGAGGAAAGACTAAGGAAATTACAGTTACCAACACTGGCGTACAGAAGATCTCGTGGGGACCAAGTGGAAACATACAAGATAGTGTGTGGCATATATGACCAGGCATGTACAGCAGTCATGTTCCAGATGAGGGAGGCTGACACTACCCGGGGGGAACACAAAGAAGACCTACAAAACAAGAGCGAGGCTAAATCTCAGAAGACACTCGTTCACGAGTAGGGTTGTCAACAACTGGAATGGGTTACCTGAGTGGGTAGTGAATGTGGAGACGGTGGAAAAGTTTGAAGCAAAATTAGATAAATACTGGAAAAATCAACAAGTATATATTTATAGGGCACAAATATCCGCCACACACAGCCACCGTCTGAGTAGAGAAGAGGCTATTGAGCTGGAGTCACAGGCGTGAGCCTCTTCCAGAAGATCATCTGTGAGTATCTGTGAGTAACGTTATGTTAATGTTAATTAGGTTAATATCATGTTAGGTTAAGGTTATATTATGTTAACGTTATATTACGTAAAATTTAAAATTAAGGTTGTGTTAGGTTACATTTATATTCTTTTAATGTTATAGTTGGTTGAATGTCAAGTACAGGGTATGTTAAGGCAATATCAGGTAAGGTTAATGTTGAGGTTATCCTTGCATGTCCTTCCGATTTTCAGTTGTTTACTTATATTTCGGCATCTTTCAACCGGTCTCTTTTATAAATGTGTTTTATTAGAGTCGCCTTAGTGAGCTGTCACTGTCTGGTGGAGACTACTTATCATCTTGTGGGGGTGTGTGTATGATAAGGCGGCTAGTTGTCATGTCATGTTCAAAATAATATATGCATTACTTCTTAACTTAACATAATTATAACCTTAAAGCTGATATTATAAATTCAGAGATAAAAACAATAGAAAATCACACAAAATAATAACATAAGGCCATGTCTTATCGCCTGTGTGTTCATAGTAACCAAACACGACTTCCAGTATATGAGACGTTAACAACAAGCTTTTAATGTTATCTTCAATATTATTAATGAAGCTCTGAACCATGATAATACATATATCATCATTTTTAACACAGAGAGGTAAATAAGATGCCATCCACTGCTATTTTCTAACAATAATACATTAACGTTAATCTCTGTATCCCCTTCACTCTGTTGCCCAGACAGTAACAAAAATACCAACCTTATCGTCAACATGTTGCTTATTTCATCTTATGATTATAAAAATAATATATTCCATCAAGTCATGCTTTTTATATATAAATTACTATATTATATTACACCTTGATAAATATAAATAACCATATAAAAGGATATTATTCGTTGTATTTAGTATTATGGTGACCGGTGGGCATGGTACAGTTGGCAGCCGTGCACAGTGGTTTGTTGACATATCAGCGGCAGGATGGCTATCGCCCCTGCTCGCGCTATTTTGATAGTTAGTTTCAATATATTCCGTGTAGTATGCAGGAAATACGGATTTTACCTTGTTATTGGGATAATGATCATCCTATTTCAAGGTTTTTCGGGGTACTATGTGTTGCGCCTGGGGACAGATGAGAGGCAGTTGGAAGCTTACAACAGCCGATCCATACCTGAAGAGGAGGTAAGGAGCATCTCTGACACTTAATACCTCTTACACCTAAACCTTTATTGAACTGATTATATGGAGAGGAAAGTCCGTTATATCAAGGTCCATTAGATGTGAAACCTCCCTTCAGCTAATGAACTATATCGATTTGAAAGTCTTTTATATCGAGGAGCCTTTATATGTGAATCCCCATCTAACGAAATATCTGGAGAGAAGTCCGCTATATGAAGGTTTCACTGTACTGTTATAATTCAGAGGCTTAAGAGAGAGTATTGGTAGTGTGAGTCAAGGTGTCAGTACCAGGTAAAGGTATAGTAACTTACGAGAAAGGGAAATAAGTATTTTAACTTGGTTTTTCCTCGAAGTTCTGTAATATATGTACTTTGTATTATATTGTTTTTAACCTTACTGGGATCACCTGAAGAATCGTCACCCCAGAGTGTCCACCTGAAGAATCATCACCCCATGTTGTCTCACCTGAACACAGTAATTATCACCATGCCAAACTCTGGGGTGACTGTATTCTCCATCTTTACGTGTGTGGCCTTAGTACAGTGTTTGGTTTTCCCAACTTTGTTTTACAAAATTACTTAATTTGATTCCTCAGTAATACTTGACGACAGTATCGCACGTTATCCAGGGGCTTTAAGAAATTTTTCCGTAGAAGACACAGTGAAACCTCCGTATAATGGACCTGTCTCCATATATTCTGTTAGATGGAGGTTTCACATGTAGCGGATCCTCGATATAATGGACTTTCCTCTACATACAGTCCATTATATAGAGGTTTAGGTGTAAATACTTTCTTACCTCATGATCCACTTAATGTCAAGAAATATTGTATTGAATACAACCTATTCCATACTTTGTTAAAATGGGAAATAATAACGAGGTATTTATATTTTTGTTATTTATGTTGACTTTTTTCATCCTTAACACTAATCTTCGTCCACCTTCAATATCTCACCAACGCTTCTTTGCTTCTTTACACAAACTCATTCAGTGACCATTTCATACACACCAACCTAACCTAATCTAATCTAATCCAACTTAACCTAACCTAACCTTACCTTACCTTACCCAATCCAATCCAACCCAACCCAACCTAACCTTATAACCAACCCAGTCTAACCTAACCTTATCCAACCCAATTTAACCTTACCTAACCCAATGTAATCTATGTATTTTCTGACTATGTTACTGTGTTGTGGATTTAGTTTACAAGGACGTGATCCCTACTAACTTTTCATGACACATTTTGCAGAGATCACAAGTGGATGTTGAGAGTCGTGTGTATCAAGCCAACGACAAGGGAGACGCTGATAGTCACAACAAAGGTAAGTTATAGATGCTGTGATGTTGAAGTTTTTTTATATATTTTTTTACAACTTTAATGTTTCGTAAGTTTGGTTTGTATGAGTTTATTTGTTGTCTATTTTATTCTCTAACTTGTGTTAAATATAGGATAATACTCTTGAAAAGTCAATATTATTAATGAATTCATATTATTCTCTCCATTATGTGATCAAAGATGATAAATTGGGTGTATTACTGGAAGAACATAGTACAATATAACATTTTAGCATTGAATGACTAAATGTTCAATAAGATAAATAATATATGATAATAGTAAATGGGTTTTTATTTATATTTTAATAATCTGAAATTATCAGGTCCTCCTGATGTTGCGGAAGTAGACAGTAAGGAGCTAAGCAAAGAGTGGCTGGGGATCGACACTCCTTGTAAAATCAGAAGTAGAGAAAGTTTGTCTGCCATCAAGAGAGCCACTACAGTTCACTGCAAGACTGTCATTGCTAACATATCATGCCAGGTATTGATGTAGTGTAGTGTACAGTATTGTGTTGATCTGTGAGTCTTGTCATAATTTGGTACACCTTAAATGTGTATCAGTGCAGGAATAACCTTATCAACCCCTTCCAAAAATCCTTGTCAGAAAAAGCCATTTTCTTATTCATTCTTTGATACATTACTTTATATTATTGAAAGACTTTTTGCAGTTAATGTCAGACTGTTGGAGTTCATGTAGGTACCTAAGTATTTACCCACTAAGTCTCGTTATATTGCTAAAACTTCCAAGAGCAACTTTGGAAATGTAAGTTAATAAAGGCATTTGCTTATGATCAAGAGTAATGAGTAATTCAGAATTTTTTTTATCTAGGTTTTAGTTTAATATAAATTTACTTAGTGGAGAGAAAACCTTTCCAGTACTGTACTGTATATCATTAAACTGGTCAGTAGAGTCACAGAGTTGTTAATCAGTTTATGGTTTATTCTTAAAAAAAAATAATATTGTACGAATTTAATGTGTACCTTTAACTTAATTCATTTTGTAGTTACAGGTATTTTTTCTTTAGTACAGTAAAGTACGTATACGGTAATTGATAACATTTAGTAAATATACAGGAATTACACCATTCTCTTCATTTTTTGGCTGCATGAAAAGTGATACTTATATAAATAAAGTTTTACTATACTGTACACTATAAAGACAGGATCTTTTAAATATTTGTTATTAGTAATTCATGTATTGACCTTCATGTGGGAGTAACTCTTTACTAAAATGGTTCAGAGTTTGTCAAATAAGTCAACTGTTTCAGTAATTTTTTAAATATTTTTAGACAAAAGAATATCTATTGCAAAGATAAGTGTTTTCTTTGTACAAAATAGCGTGATGTTTTTATGTTTAGCAGTACAGTATTTATTTAATTAAAATATATCATAATGTCCCTTCTAACACTTCTTTACATATGTGTGCACAGATTCAGGCTGGCAGCTTTTACCCAGTAAGACTTCAGAGCTACTGTCCCTCTAATGGTAAGATTTAAGTACAGTATACATAACCTGTAAGACCTTAATCTTCTTTTACATTCATACAGTATTGGTTACAAGGAACAGTATTGAAAACCATGTGTTTGGATGTTGCATCTTCATCTTATTCATATTTTGGTAGACTTTTGGAACAAAATACAATAGAGTGTTGGAGTTGTTTGGTGCGTCCTCTCAGTTGTTTGGCTCACCTGCTGAAATGTACACTCACTATTATGAGCACTTTATGTATTGTACCTATTATTGATTTTAGTTTAGTTTAGGGAATGTTTTAGCTATTTTTTAATTTATTTTGGATTGATGTATGTAACTGAATGTATGTACAGTATGTATGTATGAAATGGTCAGCATGCTGGCCTCGCAAGCGAGTGGACCCAGATTTGATCCCCGGACAGGGTGAAATTTTGGGCAAGTTTCTTTGTGCCATTTGCCTGTCTTCCCAGCAGTAATTGGGGACCTGAATGTTAATCGATTTGCAGATCGTGTTCCGGGGTAATAATTTTCTTTTATATATTTTCCATTATGCCTTGGTAACAATTTTGTTGTCAAGTGATCCACCTAGTGTAGGCAGGAGAGAAGCACTGTACACACACAATGTTTTGATGTGTTACTTGGATGAGTTGAACAAAAAGTTACACACCTCTTTTGCTAACTGAAGTCCACCCTGTTGTAATTTAAGTGATTTTTATGTTTTGCATAATTTTTCGAGGATATTTTTGGTTTTATTCACTTGCGTGATACAATATACTCATAGCTATAGAGCCAATGGGTTTAGCCTGGATGAAACTGATGAATGTTGTGATTGTTTAAAAACTAGTACAAACTTATAACCCTACAGTCTTCACTAGCCTGTTTTAGTATTCTTCCTTACCCACAGAAAACGTACAGCCAATTCATTGTAAGGGCGAGAGCAAGTATAGGTATGTTTGAAAGAAATTACTGTACTGTATTTCCACTTTAATTTTTTTAATTCTTGGTTAAATTATAAAGGGAAGAAGTGTGATTCATCAGGTAAATTATGTATTGAATTGTGTTTTAGGATTGTTGAGGAGTGAACCATCCATTACTGGTGGGCTGCTTGGCTTTGGCTTAAAACTAAATTAACATTCTATATTTTCTTGTTGCGGTCCCAGGACGTAAGAGTAAGTTTGAGTACTTTTACACACGCTATATAATTATTATATCACTACATTATGTAGGTAGTGTAAATTGATGCACCACAACATGCAAGTGAAGTATGCACATTAGATTAGATGGAGAGCTGAGGAAATTTATATTTTGCTGAGTGTAATTCTTGTTACCTGATTATCCATGTTGAACCTCTGCCAAGAATGTTTTAGCTATATTTTAGCAAACAAAAAACAGATCTTTAAAAGTTTTCCGTGTTTCCCAAAGGCCACAGGCTACTGACTGTGTACCCTAATGCTGTATACACAAACACTTGCTTCCCCCCGTCATTGCTCAGGTTACATCCTGTACTGTACTGTACTGTACATGCACTGATCAGGTAAAAAAGTATTACATTGACTTGTATTTATTTCCAGTCGTATTTGTATTTTGGTTTTGATTTTTCTAGCACTGATTGCATCTTTGAATTTCACATCACCATTTGCTACATGTACTTTATTGTGAAATCACTTGAGCTTGCAGTTTTTTTATATAATATTTGTAGATGGCAGGAGGGGACAGCCCTTAAAAACCTCTGATTGATAGCTAAAATATTCCATCAAAAGTGGTTACTACGAGAGACTACTGTACTGTACTGTACAGTACAGTTTACCATATTAATCCACTGGCTTGATGCTTTCTCAGATAATAAAGGGTTTTTAATTTATTTGGGAATGTTGTTTTGGAATAATTGTAATTACCAGGGCCCGTATACACAAAACTTTTATGCTAATGACATAATAGTACTGTTAGCTAGCAGTACAATTTAGAAGTTATACACAAAGCTCAACTAGCACACTTTTACTGCACAAATAGTTGTTTGTTAAGTACCACTAAACAGCGCTAAAGATAGCAGGAGTTCATCATATAAATTGGTCTTATGGCTGAATAACCTCAATAAAATGATGAAGATTAATTTCAATATTTACATTTATATACCGTGTACATTTTGATCATTAAAATAAAAAATAAAATCTAATCTCTGTAGTGTGAAGGAGGATTTATTAACCAAGAATAGTGATCGGTGGCGTTTCCTTGCCGTACTGTTTGTAAACAAACGAACGAAAAGGAAGCCCAACTGGACAGCAGACCAGACTTTATTATTGGTGGTAGCCATTGAAGAGAAAAGGTTAATATTGAATGGTCGCTTGAAGGCTTTCCTGAATAATAAAGACGAAGAGAGGGTTATTTTGCGTTATCAACCCATCACCTTTTTAAAAAAATTTCTTACCATTTCATAGATCTTGTCAAGTAACGAAAGAATATGCTTGAACTAAGCGACGCATTCCAAAAGTAAACGCGATATTCACGATTTATTCGTAAAAATCACGAATTTTTCCAAGTCTCAATTTGATGTTATGGTGACAAGCAGCATCGCTCTTGTTTGGTTAACCATCAATCACCTTTTTTCACATGAAAAATATATTTTTTCACAAGTTTTCTTGCTGTTTTAGATGATTCTGACATTTATCTTTGGGGCAAATCTCTTTATTTAGTTATGTTAGGTTAGGAAGTAAGGATGTTGCCTGGTAGGGTCCTTACCTCCTAACCTAACCTAACGAAATAAAGTGATTTGCCCCAAAGATAAATGTCAGAATCATCTAAAACAGCAAGAAAACTTGTGAAAAAATATATTTTTCATGTGAAAAAAGGTGATTGATGGTGAACAAAAAATAACCAAAGAGAGCATGGCTGGAAATTACCATGAGAGTCAATGGTGCATTTCCTAGTGTGGTGAGGTCAGTGGCAGAGTGAGAGACACGCTGGTTCTCAGTATTGTCCAAGTCAAGAAAGAAGATCTCTGCTATAAAGAGGTAATACACACAATATGTTCACACTATATTTAATATATACTGTACTCACTATATTCATTAAATATATCTCTCCTTTCCCGATAAATGCGTTGCCACCGCTGATTTTGTTGTTGGTTTGCGTTGCTATCAACTAACAGACCACTATTACGGGACATAAAAGTGCTCACGAGGTCTTTTAACTTAACAGTACTATTAAGGCCCTTAAAGTTTTGTGTATGTACTATTAGTGCTTAACAGGTCAGCCTTAACAACTGTTTGTTAGCACTTAAAGGTTTTGTGTACTGTATACCGGCCCAGGCCATGATGTGATCACTTTTAGCCGCCCAGTTATTGTTTGGTTAATATACATGAGTATTGCTGGATGGCTGACCAAATTTAAACTTGAGATGCTGCACTCAGCACATTACTCAGCCATTTTAAGAGGAACCTTTTGAGTAAATTTCCTCGTGTTCTCAGAAGGATAATGTGTATGCAGTAGTGGCTCAGGTTATGTAGAGTGCAAATGTACAGTTACGGAAAAAAGACCAGTCAGTCCTCTGTCCCATCCATGAACCCTGAGACTCATGAACCTGTGAATCTGAGACATCACTTAACCCAGTACACTATCTATGGGCCTAACAGTGTGTCATGTTTCGGATTCACCTGTACATGAGGCTTGGGGTTCACGAATGGGGGGATGACTGACAGGACTTTTTTCCATGACTGTACAAGAATTGGATGATATATAATTTTTGATGTACATATTAATATTTGCGTAATTCATTAACTTACCAAACATAAATTTGTAAGACATTCTTTTCTAAGTATATTTTGTAGTTGTCTGCTGGAAACCGTGCATGAATTTATTAATGAAATATTTTAGCAGCTTCATTATGCTTTTATGATTGTTTATTTTTATTAGTTTGCATTGTTACAATATTTTTGGACTCTTGATATAAAGTGGGTGCTGATGTTTTCATAAGTACAGTCAACTACTAAACTCCATTCGTCTCTCCTCCTGAACCACGAACCCCAAGATTCAGACTCTTGAATCCAAAGTATCTATGGACAAAATAATGTTTCAGTCTACTGGTTCGGGTTCACTAGTCTGGACCTCGGGGGTTCATGGTTCAGGGGAAGAAGCGAACGGACTCTAGTCGCTGACTGCACTTCACTTCTGTAACATATCTGATACTCGTGTACAAATTTAATGGCATTTTATGCTATTTAATATACTGTAATATGCAGAGTTTTCCTTAAGCTGAAGTTTTCACACAGCAGTACATTTATATACTCCAGCACCCCTTCTGTAGTTGTGCTCCCTCAGTAGTTCTGGCACCATACTGTAATTCTTATTTTTTACATTGATTATGCTGGTATGCCACTTTAATATCCTGTCATGTATTTTATTGACTCTAACTCGTGTGTAAATAGTGCAGAGTGTTGAGTTTACTGCAGTGGGACCTAAAGACCATATAATGACAGTTGTTAGTTGACTTGGTAGTGTGTAAGTTGTGGACAAAAAGAATTCAGCAGGCAGGGAGGGAGGTGGTGTATGGGGTAGGTGGAGACTTGGCAACATAGCATAGAGGCGGCGATTTAAAGTCTGAGATTTTCTTTGCACACCACAAATTCTTATGTTCACAACTGTACACTGGTATTTTGTTGAGGAGATGCCCCAGTACTGTACCTCATATAGGCTCATTGTAATCATAACATCGCTTAAACTTAGGGAGAAAAAGTTAGATTTTGTCTTGTAGATTTGAATTATACAGTATAATGTAACTAATTACATTGTGATTGTCAGGTTAGCTTAGGCTGTAAAAAATTGGGTTTGAATATCGTTGTATATAAAAGACTACAGGTGTCACCATAGGCATGACGAGCCTTCCAGCAACTGACCGACATGCTCATTGGCTATACCCGTATCACGCTTACATTGTGTACAAAAGTTGGTCCATGTTCCAAGGTGTTTTGATGGTTAGTTCAGGGCCTTTGAATATCTTGGTTCTCAGAAGGTTGTTCTTAACAATGGCTGGGGAATTAATGGCTTAACATCTCTTGTTTCTTGTGATATAGCTGTGACAAGTAGTGGTTGGGTGTGTACTGTACTGTACTGTACTGTACTGTACTGTACTGTACTGTACAATACTGAACTATACTGTACTATACTATACTGTACTATACTATACTATACAGTACTGTACTGTACTATACTATACTGTACTGTACTGTACTATACTGTACTGTACTGTACTGTACTGTACTGTACTATACTATACTATACAGTACTATACTGTACTGTACTATACTATACAGTACTATACTATACTGTACTGTACTATACTATACAGTACTATACTGTGCTATACTGTACTGTACTGTACTGTACTATACTATACAGTACTATACTGTACTGTACTGTACTATACTATACAGTACTATACTATACTGTACTATACTATACAGTACTATACTGTACTGATAACCCCAGTTGCTGTTCATTAGTTATTTTGAAATCTCTTTTGGTTACTTATATTTAGTGATCTTGTGATGAACTTTTGTAAAGCCAAGTACAGTATTAAATACAAATAATAATTATAGATATTTTTTTCAGTGACATACAGTACGTAGTTGATTGCTCACCTTTATTATACATCCCCTGATATTGACTGACTCATTTAATAGGTAAACAGGTTTTCCTTCAGTAATACTGTACCCAGGTTAATTATGTGTAATACTACCTGCCGCACAGATATGCACACTCCCTGCTGCACAGGTCTGCACACTGCCTGCTGTATAGGTCCATACACACATTACTGTACCAATACCTGCTGCACAATCCCTGCTGCACAAATTTACACATTAAACCTTGTACAGTACTCTCTCTCTCTCTCTCTCTCTCTCTCTCTCTCTCCAGTATAGTAGTATACTACAGTAATTTCTAGCTTTTTTTTCTGCAGAAAATAATGTACTATTTGTCATATTTTTTCTCATTAAAACTTATTATAATTTTCATATTTTATATACAGTTTATAGTTGAACTAAATTGATCCATTCATATTACTTAATATTATTATAGGCCAAATTTGTGTGTGTCATATGAAATATTTTACTGTATGGAAGTTGACGAATGATATTTTTTTATACCGTACATAGGAAAGGTTCGAGGCAAGCACGTGGGCTGCTTTGTTGACAGTCGTGAAAATCGAATACTGAGAGGCCACGCAGGACAACTAAAGCGCAACACTCCAACCTTATGTAGCGATATATGTTATCAACGTGGATATATATATTCCGGAGTGCAGTATGGGTAAGCATATGTCACGGTAGTGAGGAGGAAGTAGAATATAAGTATTTTATTAAGTTTTGTTTGACTTTTATATGAAATTTTTATAAGTCATCTTTTTCCTAACCCCTTCCATAGGTATGCCACTTCTAATATTTTATGGGCTGAGGCCTGACGCTTTTATTCAGCTCGGAGGTGACCCCATACACAAAGCGTTAATTAAACATGTACTGTTCTGCAAAGGAAATTTTGTTTTCTATTTAATTTATAACTTTTCATTGTCATTTATGTTGTCCCTGCTAAATATTATCACTTTTCCTGTACTGTACTGTAATTCTAAACCAAAATACTGTAGAAAGTTCTGTGTACATTTGTTGCCTGGCTATTATTATTCCTGTACAGGCAGTCCCCGAGTTATGAACTGGTTATGTTCATGGACTCTGTTCACAAGTCAGAACAGTGTTATTTCAATACGTTAAAGCACAACCCAGTCCGTACAAAACAACATAATATTCCATACATAACAAGTACTGTAAATTCTGTACTGTAAATAAAGTGATGTTAAACAATATAATGTACTGTAAAAAATAAAATTTTAGTTACAGATTTTTTGTGATCATATTGGGATCCAGTTTGTAAGCACAGCTCTCTGTAACTTTGGGGACTGTCTGTATTATTATAACCATCTAAATAATTTATTACGAGTACATCTTATTTCATTGTTAATTCCATTGAGTCAGTTGCCATCAGGTAATAGGATGAATTGTTGTTGACATAAAAACATTGATATCTGTGAAAATTTGTGAATGGAACTTTATGTAGAAGGATATGTAGTACAGTACAGTGAATACTTATGTTTGCCTTTAACAGGAAGGAATGTTTCTGTGGTAATGAAGAAATACCTCTTCAGATGAAAGTTGCAGACAGCCTGTGCAATATGCCATGTACTGGGGACTCTCATCTGAAGTGTGGAGATTACCTTCACATTAACATTTATCAAACTGGATTGGCAAGTAAGTTGAAACATTGTTATTGGGTTTTACACTTAATTGTACTTATCAAGCATCAATGATCATCTTAGTTTACTTAGTCAACCATATAAGACTTAGTCATCTCCGAGGTGCTTAGCTAAATTTGTTTTAATTAAAGTTCTTTCATTTTATAGGTTGGTGCTCTCATCTCTGTTTCTGTATTACTTTTTGGTTATCAGTTTTCATTAATAATTTAACACATAAATGTACAGCTTAATGGGATAGAGTCTGTTTGTTTGCCCCTGGTTGTGTCCACTATGTAGCCTAATGGGAGAAAGGTCCATGAGTGAGAAGAGAGATAGGTTAAGGCTTAAGCTTCATCACACTGTCTATGATATAGCCAAGTCACATGTACTGTGCCTTGCTACAAGCCTTAAGCATTGATATAAATAGTTTTGTTGTTCTATGAATAATCTTGTTATGAATCCTTAATGAATCCTTACAGAGTATGTCCCACAAGCTCTGAAGGGGCCATCATCAGCGGGCAGAAACATCCCAGTGAGAATTGTTTTCATCTTGACCGTCAATGGTAGAGCCATGAGGCAGCTCAGTCGGCTAGTTAAGGCTCTCTATCACAAGGACCACTATTTCTTCATCCATGTGGACTCTGTAAGTGTTTGTTTAATATGGTGACACTAGCAAATAGTTTTGATGATATAGCATAGTTTAGGGAGAACTTTGTGAGAAAATGTAAATGTTTTGTGGTTTAAGATAATACTCTTGTCTGCTCTTCAGCGACAAGACTACCTGTTCAGAGAGGTGCTGAAGCTCGAGGAACAGTTCGACAACATTCATGTGTCTCGGTACCGACTGTCTACCATATGGGGCGGTGCTTCCCTCCTCAAGATACTTCTACACTGTATGCAACAAGTGTTACAAATCAAAAGTTGGAATTGGGATTTTGTCATTAACCTCAGTGAATCTGATTATCCTATTAAGTGAGTGAACAAATATTTTTGGCTTTTAATTTGCATATAAGTGAGAACATTGATATAAGTAGTAGCATACATTAAAAAACGATAATTAAGTAATGTTTATAGAATTATTATCTTTCTGTACTGTGGATGATATGTATAAATGTGTTAACTTCATCTGTCTTGGGTTTTACAGAAAAAACGAGGAGCTGGTGAGTTTCTTGACCAACAACAAAGAACGCAATTTCCTCAAATCCCACGGCCACGACACCAACAGATTCCTTCAGAAGCAAGGACTCGACCGCACCTTCCTCGAGTGTGAGACTCACATGTGGAGGATCGGTGAACGACGGCTGCCTCTTGGTTAGTCCATCATCTTAACTGTATCATTATTTTGTCTTATATCATTCTACAGTAAGTTAGGTGATGAACACAAGCTTTCTGCACATGTGCTTTGAAATTGAGGTAATTGGGTGAGCTCATCAAAGGCAACGCAGGCCAAAATTATGACATTTTTCTTGTGCAATTCCTTAAAGTGAACATTTAATCCAAACTCCCTTTAATGTCCTAATCACCAAGTTTATTAGCTGCTGTACATTTCAAATTTAAGAAAATATTTAAATGTAAGAATGTAATCTCCCCCAAATTCATCTTCATTTTACAAAGTGATTCCACTGTGTTAACCACAACAACCTTACTTATATTTACCTTATATCTAGACTACATTATCATAGCTACTACTTGTTTTATGAGTTCAAGGGGAAATCCATTAGATTGAGGTTTCGTTGGATATGAAACCTCCATACAACGGACTTTATAGAGAAGAAATCCTGTTAGATAGAGATTCGCTAGACGTGAAGACCTCATCTAACAGGTAAATGGAGAGAGAAGTCCGTTATATGGAGGAAGCACTCTACATTATTAGTAATTTGTGATCCTTTCAACAGGTATACGCGTGGACGGTGGTAGTGACTGGCTGTGTCTTAACCGTCATTTTGTGGAGTATGTGATTAACAGCCAAGATCAGCTGGTGGGAGGCCTTAAGAAGATTTATTCCTACACCCTGTTGCCTGCTGAGGTATGTGGTGGTCAACATAGTGCTGTACTGTACTGTACGTGTGTTGAGAATATTTAAAACACCAGTTACGCTGTGCTTGTAACATGAAGTACATACATACCTACATACATACATACCTACATGCATACATACCTACATGCATACATACCTACATGCATACATACCTACTTACATACATACATACATACATACATACATACATACATACATACATACATACAGTACTGTACATACATATATAGAGTTACAGTATCTTGAAAATTTTGATTTTGTTGAAAATTTCAATACTGTATCAGTCCAGTGCTCCTGATTAAGGATCTGGGCTTAAAAAAGTTATATTTGAGTAATTAGATATTTGTCATAATGACTCATGGAACATTTTAATTAGTTCAGCAATGCTAATCACATGCCTCCTATGATTTATCAATGGCACTCTTTTGTGTTTTTATTTATTCTTTTATTTTGGATGTACAATTAAAATATATTAATTTCCAAATCCAAAAGAAAGGAGCTTTTCTGTCATAATCTTAGTATACTGTACTATACTGTACTGTACTGTGCTATACTATACTATACTATACTATACTATACTATACTATACTATACTATACTATACTATACTATACTATACTGTACTGTACTGTGCTATACTATACTATACTATACTATACTATACTATACTGTACTATACTATACTATACTATACTATGCTATACATACTCATAACAGTAACTGTAACATGCGCTTTGACTGCTGTGTAACAATGTGTAACAGTAACAGTAACATTAACGTGGCAGTGCCGTGCGGTAACGTGTCTTATGTATGTGGCATGACATTGGCTGTGATTGAGCAGTGCGTTAACTGTGGCGATGTGCATGTGACGTGGCTGTTAACCTGTGCTGTGGCGTGGTGACGTGCTGACCAGCTGGTGGCTGATGGCTGATGTGCTGTGGTGTGCTGTGGCTGGGCAGTGTGCTGTGCTACGTGTGCTGGGGCAGTGGCAGTGGCAGTGGCAGTGGCAGTGGCTGTGGCAATGGCTGTGGCTGTGGCTGTGGCTGTTGGCGTTTGATGTGGCTGTTAATAACATGCTCTGCTATGTGTACTGTACTATACTATACTATACTCTACTATACTATACTATACTATACTGTACTGTGCTATACTATACTATACTATACTATACTATACTATACTATACTATGCTGTACTTTACTATACTGTACTGTGCTATACTATACTATACTATACTATACTATACTATACTATACTATACTATACTATACTGTACTGTACTGTACTGTGCTATACTATACTATGCTATACTCTACTATACTGTACTGTACTGTACTGTACTATACTATACTATAATATAATATACTATACTATACTATACTGTACTGTACTGTACTATACTATACTATACTATACTATACTGTACTGCACTGCACTGTACTGTACTGTACTATACTATATACTATACTATACTGTACTGTGCTATACTATACTATACTATACTATACTATACTATACTGTACTGTACTGTACTGTACTGTACTATACTATACTATACTATACTATACTATACTGTACTGTGCTATACTGTACTATACTATACTATACTATACTGTACTGTACTGTACTGTACTATACTGTACTATACTGTACTATACTATACTATACTATGCTATGCTATACTATACTATACTATACTATACTATACTATACTATACTATACTATACTGTACTGTACTGTACTGTACTATACTATACTATACTATACTATACTATACTATACTGTGCTGTACTAAGTTAGTCTAAAACTATCAAGACCCCAGGACCAGGTGGAATAGAAGATGTGTGATGACCTTTTGACACGTTCTTGTATTGGTCTCTGCCCGATGTTTCACCTTCTTTTGGACACTGAGGGTCTCTTTACTTTTGGATTGGCCATATATATGTAAAAGTTGACTGTGTTAGTGACATATGAGTGAATTGTGGTGATAAAGAAATAGATAATGAAGCTGAAGTTTTATTCTCTTATGTCTCAGCATTACACCAAAACATAAGAGAATAAAAATCTTCTTCACTCTGTGTTTCCTTACCACCACAATCCACTCACCTACATAAATAAAGACTTGTTGAAATCTGCAGGATGACTTTGATACTGTGTCCTTGAATTTCTCTGTGAACAACAACTGTCTGTAGAAAGTAGGTTGATGGATAGATTAATATAAGTCAATTGGAATGTAAGAAAGAGGATGTGTAAACGGTAATCCTTATTTTTTTTGTACTTTCCCCCGCAGTCATTCTTCCATACTGTTCTCCGCAACTCACGCTTCTGCCAGTCTTTCACGGACAACAACCTTCATGTTACGAACTGGAAGAGGAAGTTAGGCTGCAAGTGTCAGTATAAGCACATTGTTGATTGGTGCGGCTGTTCACCCAATGACTTCACTCCTGGTGATTGGCCTAAGCTTGAGGTAAATTACTGAATACTGTACAAATACTACAGTGGAACCTCCATATAACGGACTTCTCTCTCCATATAATCCATTAGATGGGGGTTTCACATCTAACGAACCCTTGATGTAATGGACTTTCCTCTCCGCATAGTCCATTAAATAAAGGTATCACTGCATCTTAAACCACAGGAAAATATTTTTAAAACCAGGAGAGCCAAAGGGATAGCATGAAGAACTGCCCTCAGGTTACCATGTCTAACCCATGCAAGTGTGGAAAATGCCTTAAAACATTGATGGTGGTGATGACGATTGTGAAGATGATGATGATGATGATGATGTTGATGGTGATGACGATGGCAGACAGTCAGATAGATAGACAGGAAGAAAGATTGATAAATAGACAGACACAAACAGACAGACAAAAAGGTAGACAGAATTTTAGAGAGAGTAATGGTGACTTTGCTCCCACAGACGTCATCATCACGCAACCTGTTCTTCGCTCGAAAGTTTGAGGCGGTGATCAGCCAAGCCATCATTAACCAGGTGGACGCTTGGCTCTACACTCCCTACTACTCCTGTAAGTTGTCTCACTGTTGGGGTCATATTAGCAATAGGATTGGGTGGTTTGGTTGGCTGTCACTGGTCAAATTGCCATACTGTTTACTATTTGGTTATAAAAATTATAATTTCAATAGTATCTGATAAATTTGATGGCTTTCGTTGGTTGAGTTCCATACTGTTTACTATTGTAAATCACACTATGTCTTGAGTTTTAAATCACCATTATATACATTTTATGAAGAAACAATACTAATTCTATTACCGGTATATAAACATGCTAGTTTTTACTACTTAGAAAAAGGTATTTGTCATTCCAAAAATGCCTTTTGGCACAGGTCAAAACATGAATTTTGTTTAAATTTCATACAAAGGTTCTCTTACACATGCTGGTTAAGGATCTGGATTAAAAATTGTAAAATTCAAGAAATTAGTTTTAATTATTTAGCCTTAAATAATTAAACACATTTGGAATTTTTAAAATGTCAATTATTCTGTACATTTTTCAACACACGCACACACACACACACAGACATGAAGTTTTGTATCCAACAGCACACTACGTATACTGTATACATCTTTATACTCAAGCACATACCGGGTATGTTCCAAGAATAGTATTATGGTACAACTCTTGAATTTCTATGAGCAATGTAATACCTGTATATAGGCTATGATGTACTGATATAGGTACTGTAATTATCTTTATTCCTTTGAGGCAGGTAATGTACCATATGTATCCTGTACTGTATTGTAGGGAAAAAAAATTCCTTGGCAGTTTTGAGCAGTTTTATGTACTGTCGTTGTCTGTTCTTATGAGATTGTAGTTTGTGAGTAATGACGAAAATAACTCATAATTTTAAAACCCCTTTGACAGCTACTCCGGGACTAGAAAGTTACTGGGAAAATCGTTACCATCATGAGGACAAACCGTCTAGCAATAATGACGCAGCCCTTACACTCTACCATGCTGGAGCCAGACTCAGTACTCAGTCACTCTCTCATCTCATCACCACAGAGAAGAATGACTGCGCGATCTATGCCACTTCTGTTCTTCAGGCTTATTCCTATCATGTTAGCGACACATTTAAGGTAAGGTGGTGGTGTATAAATGGTGTTTTATGAGTTGAAAAAGAGGAAGTATTTGATAATATTTTAGTATAGTATATATGTCATGAGGGAGTATTGCCGGGTTAATTGTGGTGTTGGTGGTACAGTGGTAACATATGTATCTCTCACCAATATGTCAAAGGTTCAAACACTGCTTGGCCCAGACACATGTGAGAAGGGTGCTAACCAGTGTGACCTTCACTGCCAATCATCACAGGTTTCCTGGAGTCCAGTTTCCTCCTGTACTAACACTGGGTAGACCAACTGCCCAAATGGCTAGTAAGCTGATAAGTAGTGAAAAATATATACCCTGTGCTGTATATGTATCCAGGTATTTGAAGCTGCCTGTGGAGGGGTTTGTAATGGTGTCTAATTATTATTTTTTTGGGGGGAGGCCTTGGTGTACCATCTGTGTGTCATCTGATGGACTCACTTAGTACTCTACTGTATCTGGCTGGCTGTGTTTATAATTTTTTGTGGCAGAAAATATGGTTCAGGCAGACAGATCATGGGCCCCCTCACAAACTAGAATACAGTACTGAAGTGTATTTGCATCTGTATTAAACCATTATTGTTTTTTTGCAGGGTGTTGTGATACAGTTTGTGGGTACTATAAGTGGTCAGGGAACCTTTCATCTTGAAACTTGGATCTTCCCACATGTCAAGTACAGGTTACCCTTTGAGAAACCAAACCATAGATTAACTGTGAGTATATAGAGAAAGACTAATTTTATTAATACTGTACGTCGTTTATGTGTTATTATCAGAAGTGAAAGTTGATGGTCATCTTTATTTATTTTTATAAGATTTACTTTTTATATTTTTTCCTGGTGACTTGTTTCATTGCTTCATCTTACACAATCTTTGTTACAGGATCTGGAAGTGGGAACAGATTTTGACGTTAAGGAGCAAGTTTTTCGTAACTTTGGTGGAGCTATGGGCCCCAACAGTGACGTCACTGTAGCAACACGATGGTCTGGTGGGGTGACTGGTGATGAGAGAGTTGGTGGGGAGGACACAGTGCAGCATCCTCTCATAGTTCTCATTGATCCAACATCAACTCTTGCTGCTGAAGCTGAGATTACCCTGGAACCTGGAGAACAGGTCTGGTGATGTTAATTGTCCTTTCTGTCACCTGCAGTGAAACCTCCATATTATGGACTTCTCTCTCCATATAATCCATTAGATGGGGGTTTCACATCTAGCAGACCCTCGATATAAAAGATCTTTCATGTCTATATAGTTCATTAGATGGAGGTTTCACATCTAATGGATCTTTGATATAACAGACTTTCCTCTCTATATAGTCTGTTTAATAGAGGTTTCATTGTACTATTACACCTTTTCACATATACGTTGAGACATTGTTATATATCTATTTGACAAATTTCATAACCGAATGACAGAACACATATCGAATGACAATCTAAAATAACTGTTCGTTCATGCTAACGGAAATGGTTGACATATGTTATGAAATTGACAGCCGTGAACAATAAACCGACAGTCTACAAATAGTTTGAGAATGTAACAATTGGAGAATGACATACCACCAACAGTTATTTTAGATTGTTGTTTGATATGTGTTCTGTCATTCGGTTATGAAATATGTCAAATAGATATATAACAATGTCCCAACGTATACTGTATGTGCAAAGGTGTATTATTATTATTTTTTAGGTCATCTTTGTTTCTACTGAGTACTATTCTGTACTGTATCTTATATGTGTAGGCTAATGTCACTGATGTTGGCAGCTTGTACAGTACAGTATTTCTTTGAGCCGTCTTCATTATTTTATCAGCTTCTCAGTTTTCAGAAGTAATGTTGTATCCGCTCTGCACTGTAGTGGGTCGTCGAGAGTATGGTACCCACTTACTATGGTGACTTGTTCTTATATTATTGTTTAGAGAAAGATCATGTTCCTGGGTTCATTTATTAAATAGGAATTACAGTCACAAGTACAGTAATATATAAATCCACTATTGAGCTTTTCATTTCATTTGTAATACTGTATTGTTAAAGAAAAGGCTGATACAGTATTTACAGCCATAGGCAAATATCCTGTTACAGCTTAAGACACTGAACTCCTGGAGCCTGTAAGAGCTACCTGGGTCTTGGTACACCTTGAGGTAAATAATAGGACTCTTACCAATGAATTTACTTTCTTCACCAGGTCGTCTCACACAATTTTGAGTTACGTAAGCCACTTCTTCCTGGGTCGTGGATGATGCGAGTGCTGATTGACAACGTTGTGATCGCCTCCCACTCGTTCCTCATCTTACCTCTCCAGTTTGTACAAGGGCGTCAGATATCAGTTAAAGAGGCCAGGTGAGATAACAAATTACTTATAACTTTATTTTTATCTCATAAATCAGTTATTTTCTTATCCATGATTATACCATATCTTATGAGCCTATTTTGAGTATAACAGATTTCTGCAGATGACTTTCTCAAACAGCGAGTCATCCTAGTGAATGTCATCTTCAAGTACTGTACATAGATTACCGTATTTTACGTTATATAAGACGCACTGTTTTGTCCAAAAAATGGCAAAAAAAATCAGCCTACGTCCTGTATGGGAAGTTGAGGTCTCCCGTAAGCTAATGAATCCCCCAGTTGCTGTCTCCAATAGGATAAATTCTACCTAACCCAATTCCAGAATTAAAAATATGTTACTGCTTACTTAAACATTAAGTGTTATTATTTTTGATAAATTAAGACATAAATATTGTAAATATAAAAAGTTGATCTATTACTGCTCTGCACTGTACTGATGATGATAACCTGAGAAGATTAACGTCCGTACGGCAGACACCCAACTCTTCAAAGGTAGTTAAGCAGTAACTATTTCTGAACTCTTACAAGCATTATAATCTATTAATGTCATACCTGCAACATTTATTTTTAAATCTACAAATACCTGATACGAATGAAGATTTACAGATAACTTTCTTTTCACATTGCATCTGTTAATAGCGCTGGCGGCATTGTAGCCAAGTTAGACTCAGGTAACCACCAGGTTACTGGGCTAAGTTGTGGTGTAATGGTTGTTTTTCATCTCATATTTTCGGGTAGATATACGTAACTTTCTTCCTTTATTTTTACTCGATTACATGCACATACCATCATACCGGTACATACATAATGTGAAAAAAGTAAAAGAAATAATTGTCCTAAGGGTAAACATACAAAAGGAATATACATTTCTTTGCACATGAGTTAGTTGGCTTAGTGGGGAGCAGGAGGATGGCTTGGCAGTTGTTGGTGGTGGTGGTGGTGGGGGTTGGGGGTTGCTTGGGAATTGGCTTCTTTTTACTGGTTTGCCAATACAGTATTTTTTGTTACTTATTTATTAGTACTATTTTTATTTATTCCTCACATTTACTGGTACTGTACTGTACTGTATATATTATTTTAAGGATACTATGGCTACAGGAGGAAAATAGACACAAAATATTTTTCCTAAATACTCCCTACTAAAATGGGGGGTGCATTTTATAGGCCATGAAATATGGTATATTACAACACACATTCCATAGTACTTTGCTACAGAAGAACCTTATCAATATATATACTGTACAGTGTGTACAGAGGCCTCAGTATAAGAAGGGGATGTATTCTGCAGAATTCATGTGTAAGAACTCATGTATACAGTAATGAAAGCAAAGTCCCCATGAACATTGTGTTCTTGATCAATTAGTCGTATTACCTCCAGTGTTTACATGTAATTTAATTGTGATTCTTGTTTACTCATATGTGATTTTGGCCATTTTTAGGATGCTGCACAAAGGACCGTCAGAGCCATATACTAATGCAGATCTCAGCCACAGTAGCCTCCTGCTGAGCCTTGGGCAGCCTGGTAACTCCTCAGCCCAGGAAGTCTCCGCCTTACACTCTCACCTGCATGGTCCTAAGCTGTCTAACTGGATCGATAATCTAGTCACCAGGTAAACTGAAGGTTCATGCAGTGAAACCTCTAATTAACGGACTACTGTACTGTATATGGGGTACTGATTTACGCGGTCAATTGAACCCATGGGGTACCGCGGAAAGTGAAAACCGCATAAAGTGAACAACAGAACATATGGGATTAATTCCAATAGAGACTGGCCCGACCCCCAAACTCCACTTTTTCAGACACAATACCTATGTTGTAGTAAAAATAACATCTTAATTTTATGATGGTATGCACACACAATTAATAATTAAGAGAAATATCAATAATATTAGGTTTTTTAACACTTACATTAGTAGGAAAGATGGCTGGGCACACGGGGATGGGGGGTTGGTTCCGAGGCAGAGGGCAGATTATTGGCCCTCACCTGTATCACTTGTATCAATTGTATCACTATCCACCACATAGGCTTGCAGGGCCTCTTTGTCAAACCCCTCAAAGTCCATATAAGTCCATATCCTCACTATCACTATGACTGACTTGGGCCGGCTGTGGTGGGTGGCGGGTGAAGAACTCGGTAATGTTTTGATGACTGAGCGACCGTGTGCGCATCCTGCCCGCGCTGCTTCCCGCGTATATGAGTAGATGCACCGCGTAAAGTGAAAGTCCGGTTCTGGTGAAGTACCGCGTAAATGCGAAATCGCAGAAAGTGAAACCGCGTAAAGCGGGGTATTACTGTATATCAAGGGTCCGTTAATGTGAAACCTCCGTCCAATGAGCTATTGTATTTGGTATAGAGATGAAAGTCTGTTATCTCAAGGGTCCTTTAGATCTGAAACCCCCATCTAACAGATTACAGGTAGTCCCCGACTTACGACTGCTTGGACTTACGACCGTCGGGACTTACGACCGCCGCAGTTATGACCATTTTTTATTTATTTTTTCCCAAATGACGCACGCATTTTCTATACCGAAACGTTTCCAGTTAATGTAGTCTCCATGTATAATTAGAAAATTATGGGGGCCCCATGTGCATTCAGCTGACTACATAAAAGGTAAGTGCTCAGTCACACTGTATCCATTCCTCATTATTTATTACTTTCACTGTACTGTATCCATTCCTCATTATTTATTACTTTTACTGTACTGTATTTCATTGTAGATTTTTTATTAAAAAAAAAATTGATTTTTTTTTTTATCTATGTCGGACTTACGACCATTCGGACTTACGACCTGGATTTGGGTCCCTAACCCCGTCGTAAGTCGGGGAGCACCTGTATATAGAAAGAGATGTCCGTAATATGGAGGTATCACTGTAGTTGATTGACTTGTGAAAAATTAAATAACCATCACATTAATAACAATAATTTATGATATAATGTTCTCTCATTCCCTCACAGGTTCTACACTATTCAAGATTCATGTTACATCCCTAGTCAACACGTGCCAGAGTGTGTTCACGTTCTTCTGGACTCCTGCACAAAGAACATCTGGAGCTCTCAGTCACCCGACCCCAAGTCACACCTCGGGGAAATTGACCCCAAGACGGGAAAAATTGTCGACTCTTACCGCATTGGCAATAGTGAATTTAGATAAGTTTGGTGATCCAGATATAATGTGTTGATAAAAATCTCTGGATCAGTGTGGTTGGTTGCAGTGAATATATCTACCCAGTTATTGATATATCATACTGTGTACAGAACAGCATGGGAGAGTCTTGTTGGTGGGACCATTAAGAATTTATGATATCACTTGGAACCATTTTATTAGTATAAGTGCATAATTGGCTGTGTATCATTGCATTAAAAATCATTTAAAATAAAAAATAAAATGAAAAGGAATATTACAATGTATATAAATATAATGAATATATTTTTTATTCTTTCAAACTTTTTTCTCCATAATGATGAATGATTGGAAACAGTAGCACACACACACACACGCACACACACACAGTGATGAATGATTAGAAACATTAGCAGATACAGTGTGTGTGTGTGTGTGTGTTTACTCTTGTTTTTGGCCCAACCTGCATTAAGTGGGGGATATGACTTGAAAGAATAAAGAATATATATACAGTAAATATATATATACTACATGGTATATGTGATATCGTTCAAGAATTAGGTACAGTACTTATCTTATGACCGTACATTTGATAAAGAATGATAAACATTGTATGGTTAGTAATATCTAGAAATAAGAATTCCCACAAGAAAGTTTTCATTCGTGTGACAGAACTCAAGATTTCCCTCATAAGAATGTTGTTTGAGTCTCAGGATAAGTAAGCTGGAACTTATTACAGGTGTTAAATCAAATGGCATATAGTACTGTATATATATGTATTACTGTATATGTACTGTACAGTATGTGTATGACCCATTGCAAGACCTAGAACAGTGAATCATCAAGAAAACCAATTCAGTGAACAGCAAGGAGTTAGATCCATGTTTTGTTCTGTGCATGCTTTAAGCTTACACACATCTGTGAGTACAGTATATCAAAATTGGACAATTAAATGATTGAATAAAAGTTATGAATTACCTGGTTTGTGTGTGTGTGTGTGTGTGACAAAGTTTCACATGACTTAGGAGTTCCTAATACCCAATGCTTGTGTTCTGAAGGGAACTGAATAGAAAATATGAAATCAAATCCATTCCCCAAAATAAGTATTTTCACATGTACAGTATTTAATATGAAAGAAGCTTTAAGATGCATAATACAAGCACAAATTATATGTCACAGTTTTAATATAGAGTTATTAATAGTCTTTGTGATAAATACTTGTGAAAAAGTGTTTTTATAGTGAATTTGGTATACTGTATAGAACTTGGGGGCACATCTGGCCAGTGAGATGTGTCTGGTTGTCTGGTGACCATCAGCTTTACCAAATGGTTGTTGTCATTTGATTCTGTATGTTAAGAATGTTCTGATTAACTGAAGAGTTTAAATAATGTGATAACATTATATGTGCCATTTAGTAGTGCTGAGCCTGAGGAGTAACATACAGTTGTAAGTTCCTTGGGTGAAAAGTCTAGTACATTAATGGCTGTTTTGTTTGATGTTTATGATACACACTTCACAATGCTCATACAAAAATCATTATCAGAGCATATATATGGATGGCTGGCAATTTTAATTGTTTAATAGTGAATTTATTATGGAAAACTTGTAGTGTTTTAATATCTTGATAATATGAGCATTTTGTAACATTATTTGGTGTATTATGAATGTAAACAAGAATAAAAGAAACTAAAGAATAGTCTAGGATTACGATTAGGATATTTAAAACAAATTGTGTTTTCAGTTACATCTCTTCAAGTTTGGGTAGACAAGGAGGACAATTATATATATATATATATATATATATATATATATATATATATATATATATATATATATATATATATATATATATATATATATATATATATATATATATATATATATATATATATATATATAATTTATTTGTGTAAACATTTTTGCTTGTTCACCAAGTGCTGTGTACGGTATACAGTATAGCTATAAATTATGCCAGGGGTAAAAAGTGATGGATTATGTAACTGGTAATATTTAGTAGACTTGTGTTCACACGAGGCTGCTTCTGCTTATTTTGTTAGGGACAATTGTGACCATTAGGGTTGTTCAGTACTGGGTATTACTGACATGGTTTGTTAGTCATCATGTCAGGGTTCCTCACCAATGTGTTCCATCTTGCCATACACCCCTGCTGCTCACACTGGGAAGTGGGATAGTTGATATTATTAATTTATCTGTTTGAACTGTGTCTCTGGATGGGACCCAACATCCACCAACCACACACCTTGGGTTCTGTATCTGGGTGCTCAGCAGAGAAGCCATTTTATTTTAGCTATATTATACAGAGAGCCGGTTACTGTTGTCATGGGCCAGTACAGTTGTTGTGCTCCTGGTGAGAGGTGCGTAGAACACGTGTAAGGAAGATTATGTAATAGGTAAAGCTTGAAGCAGTGTTCTCATTATGTAAAGCAATAGTTGATTAATAGCTGCAAGTAACTCACTTCTTTTAGTACTTTTATGATAGAAGTTAATGCTTATTTGTTTTAAAATGCTGTACTGTTATGTAGACTTAGTGAGCATTGTTGTGATCATTGATAATTATCTGTTAAAGTTGGAGAAAATTAGAAGCATAGTTTAGGGCATTTTTTTCCCGAGTCATGAATCTGGGATACAGTCCTGCAGGAAGTTTAAATATACTGTAAGAGGGCAGTTTAGAATATAGTGAAAATTAATTCTAAAGAATATTTAAAGGTCACAGGATTAAATTACCAGAAAAAAAGAAAGAGAAAATTTCACATACAGGTATATGAAAAAAATAATATTTGTTATGTGTCATTACTTGGACCTGGGCATATGATGATATCTGTGGTGAAATGACGTTACTTTTGTCCTAACAATACTGTATGGGAGGATTGTTAAAGTGAGCCCAAAATGTTTTGTAGTGGAGGGCCATGAGTCCAAGACATGAGAATGGTACATGATTAATCGGTCTTCCTCAGTGAAGTCTATATAGTAATAAGGACACACCAGGTTACTAATGCACCTTTTATACAGATGTTTTATGAGTGTGTGTTTTGGTGTGACTCTTGGTAGTAAGTTTAAGGAGATTTGACTCATTGTCATTTTTTTTTTAACTAATGAAGTCTATGCATACCAAGAGCCAGAAAACACTAAAATGGTACTTGAATGACACTTGTATATATCTGGTTTTTATCATCATCTTTCAAACTATTATTTTTTTCATTTGTGTTTTTTGAGGGGGGGAGTTTATCAAGATGTCTTAGAGAGTTAATGAAACTTTTTTTGTGTTCATTTGGGGTAAGTCCTCTACATATCACAATGAGTAGATGAATATAATGTAAAGGTTTTACTATTAAGTGAGAAGAAGCGCATATCAAGTGTGAAATGAACACAAGAATTTATTGCAGTTTGTTCAGTAGATATCAGTGAGAGATGAAGGGATAGATGTCACAGGGGGACAAAGTAACCTGTAGTAACTTTACATATCATCAGAGAAGCAAGTGTAAAATTATAGAACAGTAATTATGACTTATTTATTATTACAGAACAGATTGTGACTTGTTTTTAAAGTGTTTTGCCCCTTATGCCATATTGTATTGTATTGGGATATACTGTGCTGTACCACCTACCACTTACATATCATTCAGTCTGGTGTAATATTAATGACTGGTTCTTTCATGACAGCTGAAATATTAAAAAGTTTGTGTATTTTGGTTTGTTAGATCATTGTGTTTGGTCCTGTGTGTATGTTGAGATGCACACACCAAGCCCTGGTGCTGTAGCTTGAGAGTGATACATTAACAGAGCAGGAATTAGAAACTGACTGACTTGTGCAATGTTTAAAGTGAATATTTTGGACTAGATTACTTTGTGTTTCTGTTCATTACGCTCAATATTTTCTCAAAGATGTGTAAGTTAAGTGCAACATAAGAGTATATAATCTCATCCTGGGGAGAAAAGGAGACACTTCCTTCTATGTTTTTTTCTCTCCAGGATTATTATAATATTTATTAGGTATTAAGTAGCAATACTATTTGTGATATAATTGAATTTTAAGATGATTTAATTTGTCTTGAGTGAAGTCGTGTGCCAGTTACTTGTACTCAGGATGAAGAATACACTGCCCTCTTGCTTAACACGGGTTCGCCCTACATTAAGTTTTCTAGGCACGATACTCCCGTGTTAAGCGAGGGGAAGGTGTAGATGAAAGTGAACTTGACGTATACCGTGTGAAAATTTGTGATACCAAGTCAGTTCCGAGTACAGTCAACTACTAGAGTCCTGTCGCCTCTCCTCCTGAACCATGAACCCCAAGATTCAGACTCGTGAATCCGAAGCCTTTATGGCCAGAATAATGCCTCAGTCTACTGCTTAGGGTTCACGAGTCTGAATCTCAGGGGTTCGTGGTTCAGGAAGAGAGGCGAACGGACTTTAGATAATTGACTGCATATATTTGATCATTTCTTGTATCCAGTAAATGCATTGGCTTCCTTCTGCAGATAGTAAATTATTTTATTGTTTGCTACAGTAGAAAAAGAATCATGGAACCTCTTCTTTCCTTCACTCATGTAGTACACCATTCATTATCACCTGTTTTAACGCTTTTAACTTAAGAATGGATCAAGTGAGTACAGTTACTATAAAGGCAATATTTGCTTTATCCCATAGATATTTCTCCTCTAACTGGAGGAATCGTTTACTCTTGAGTTTCATTCGGGGTCCACTGCCATAACTCCCTGAATACTATTTCCTGCATAATTTAAACCTATTACTTGTATTGTACAGTGAAACCTCTATTTAAAGGACGATATGGAGAGGAAAGTTCGTTATATCGAGGGCCTGTTAGACGTGAATCCTCCATCTAATGAGCTATATAGAGATGAAAGTCATTATATCGAGGGTCCATTAGATGTGAAACCTCCCATCTAACGAGTTATATAGAGATGAAAGTCCATTATACCTTTTTATACTGTTGAGGTCTTACTGTATTAAATGGTTAGATAGTACAAGTGCACTGAATCCTTCCTGCTGCTACTTTACCCAATACCTGTCTGCCACATCACTCTCTTAACCTTGCCACATTCCAGGGAGTCTCAGAGAATGATCTTTTTTGTAGTTTGTGTTTTATCCACAAACTTACAAATGATTGTCAGTTTTTCTTTTGTCCAGAGACTTGTAAATGAGTTAGTTTTAGCTTTGTCCAGAGACTTGTAAATGGGTTAGTTTTTAGCTTTGTCCAGCTACTTGTAAATGAGTTAGTTTTTAGCTTTGTCCAGATACTTGTAAATGAGTTAGTTTGTAGCTTTGTCCAGAAACTTGTAAATGATATGTCAGTTTTTTTTCTCCAGAAACTTGTAATGGTTGTTAGTCTCCTTCCCCCATTTTATCCCTGTCACATGAGGGTGATTGTTGCAGTTACTGTTCATCCTTCAGAGAAACAATGATACAGGAAGTTACTGTGAAAGAGCATCTGTCTTTCTCAGCTTTACATTATTGTCTTAACAGATTTGCCAAAAATAATTGTTAATTCTCAGTGATGATCATGAGGCAGTGGGCCGATGATGTGGTATATATGGGTGAGGTAGTCCAGCTAACTGGGAGTCTACTGTACTGTACTGTATATTGAAAGTTGTGTGTAAGGACTAATGACCCAGACAGTCTTATTGGCAGACCTCAGGAAGTCATAGCAGTGCCTCATGTCTTAAAATAGAGAGGATTAAATGTTAGATCAAAAGAGATTCCCATTTTCTAGCATCTCTTGTATGGTTATATGTACTTCCGGTTTCTCCACAGTGTTCCTCAGAGGAATTCCTATCACCTTGCTAGCCTGTGTTGTTTCATCCTACAGTGTTCTTAGATTTCTCTGTATTTTTCCTGTTACTGTACCCAGCCTTTCCGTAAACCCATGTATGTTTGTTTGATGAACCTTCTGTCCTCTTTACAATGGTTCTATACATCTTCATTTCATGATATTGTACAGTACAATCATGTGGTAGCTGTTTCATGTTTGTCATCAAGGAATTATGTAGAACTTTTCATCAAAGATTTTAAGCATTGCTGTGTTGAGTTTTTGTATGTGCTGAGGTGCTGTGTGGCCAGACTGTTAGAAGAAGAGTCTTGTAAGCGGCACACCTTATTAGAGGACTCGGGGTAAACTGTGTGGTAAAGATTGGCAGTTAAAACTGTGATTCATTATATATCAAGTGTGTTCACATGGAGATGTAGTTAGGAATTTTTTAAAGAATATTGTGGGCATTTTTGTACTTAAGTACAGTGGGGTATGCTATAACGAACGTAATTGGTTCCAGAACCTCATTCGTTACAGCATTCGTTCGTTATAGGATTAATCCGTTCCAGGCCCCCAAATACAACCGCTTAACACTGAAAAAATTCTGTGGAAAATGTAAAAAATACGGTACTTTATCTTACCTTAGTGTTATTCAGCATGCAGGTACCCCTAAACACTGGCACATCACTATCACTTCCACTGGGAGTCTTGGCTTTAAGGTCCTCAAACAATTGTTTAGCCTTCTCACAAATTATAGCTTCACTAATGTTACCACCTGCCATTTCTTTCTCCTTTATCCACACTAAGAGTAAATTTTCCATCTCTTCAATCACATTACACCTTGCTTTGCTAAGTCTAAAGATTCCCTTAGCCACTTGCACAGTTTTTAACTCCTCTTTATTCTTCAAAATCGTACATATAGTCGATTTAGCCATCCCATATTCATCACTAAGTTTCGCAATGCTTCTTCCATTCTCACGTTTCT